AAATTGATAGCGAAACGATTTCAATATAAACAATTTCAACTCTACTTCTTATCTCTTTATACTATCTTCCTCAACTCTCTCTCTCTCTCTCTCTCTCTCTCTCTCTCTCTCTCTCTCTCTCTCTCTCTCTCTCTCTCTCTCTCTCTCTTCAGTCTTCACACTTCCTCTTCTAAATCAAACAACCCTTAAGAGATAACAGTGAAGTTGCTGCCTGTAATCACTAGATTAAGCATAACTGTTGGATTATAAAGTATTACCTTGGCCGGTGGGGAAGAAGGACAGTTGTTTTTGATATATCCTCCACGGGGCATGCTAGCAATTCAGAGTTAAAACATTCATCACTCCTCTTCTGGATAAAAAAATGATTTCCCCGATGACTAACATATGTTTCAACTCCGCTTACTCGTGGTGTCAAAAGGACTAACCCATCTTCAAGTTTTGAAACGTCTAGATATAAAACAAATCTTGTAGTTTTACTCCCGGGAGATATAAATAGATATTTCTTGCTCTCAGATTCCAGAAGATCTAATGAAAACCTATCATCCTCTTCATGAAATAGGCAGGTGTCATGAGCTTGGTCTGTTCCCAACCTGTGCAACCACGCCTACAAATACAATATCAACAAAGAACTTTCATTGATAGCCATAAAGTTGTTGACCTGACCTGAACTGTATAGACCTTAAGTAACACTGCCTCCGTCACAATTTGTTTACCCCCTTTTCACTATTCATGCAGTCAACCGTACTCCTTTTTACTCTAATTTTTGTGTATCAAACTTTTATCATATTTGAGTTGAGTTTTACGGTTCAATGGACGCTATAGTGTGGTTTCTAAAGGAATGTTTAAAAGAGCTAAATAAACTGTCTTTCAGATTTTTTCTTTAAACAAGTTAAAGTAGTGTTTTCAAACAGGTGCTTATGCTTAAACTCCTAAAAGTTAAGCAGTTTCAAGCTAAAAGAGCAGAGGGAGGGGTGTTTAACTGTTTAAATCTGCTTTTCGATTTTTCTGTTATAAACATACCTTTTTAACCAAATACTCTAACTTTTACTTTTTTTAAAATCACTTTATAAACACTACCACATGTTACTATTAATAACTTTTCATATAATCTCTAAAATAAATCACTTTTCAAAAGTAGAAGCAAAAGCAAACACTCTTTATGCATGTAAACTATAATGGTTAATACTAATTTAAATATGAGCAGAGAAGGTGAGTCTCGTAATCAAAATGGAACGGAAGTAGTAATAAAATAAGCCATAAAAATATAGTTTTAATTTTTTATGGAGTTTGCAGCTTGAGAAAAATGAATGCCATTGAATATTATGAGATGCCAATTACATAGAAGCTATTTGTATAATAATCCTCAGGTGTATATAAAGGAATTAAGTAGGTTCTGTGGTTGAAATTTAATGAGTAAAATGAATGCCATTGAATATTATGAGATGCCAATTACATAGAAGCTATTTGTATAATAATCCTCAGGTGTATATAAAGAAATTAAGTAGGTTCTGTGGTTGAAATTTAATGAGTAAAATCCAAGTTTAATCTCTCATTATTTATAATTATTCAACATAGCATGAAAGCTGCCTTCATAGGCCATTCTGGCAAACTCCATCTTTTTTTGTGTGAATAGTACCACTTCCGGATAAAATTTATCTCTTTTTATACATATTTGATGTTAGTTAATTCAATTTCAAGATGCAATCTTGTTAACACAGCTTTCATGTTTACAGCAAACTTTGATATTGTGACCAAAATGCTAGGCTAAATGTCATTTCAGATATGTATTACTGTATTAATAGTTAAACTGAGAGACACAACTTCTAGCTCATAGTCTTTTATGAAACACGTGTTCCAACTGGTGAAAACCTCATATTAATGAAAACAAAATATCCTCAACATAAATATAACAGGATTTGCAAGAAAGGTTACAACATGGAATGTTAGTCTAGGCCAAATTCCCTACCTTGTCAGGCCGAAGAGTTTCATCCATTGTGACATAAACTATGGCCTCATCACCTGCCCATTCAAGTTCTGATGTCAAACCAACAAGAGGCTTTCCAACTGGTGCTCGAGATTCAATGTCAATAATATGAACAGTATATATCTCATCTCCTTTTGTGTCTTCGGCATAAGCCACTAGCTTATTGTTAGGACTAACCTGATAGAAGGAAACAGTAGGAATGACAGAAGTATAGAGCCCAGGATGATGAAGCAAAATGCCCAAGAAAAAAGGTAATGCATGTAGTCCTTACTTTAAAAGCACCAATAGTGTAAAATTCACAGTCTTGAGCTTTAACATTCTCGTCAAGGATTACATGCTCTGGTGGGGCATCCGGCCCCGTTGGCATGGTATCATAAACAGATAATGCTGCTTCCTGGTTTGGTGCAAGGCATCTACAGTGTTGAGCATATTCCTTGCCTTGTTGTGTCCTTTCGTAGTAGTAATAAGGCCCTAGTCGTATAGGTGCTGATATATCATCTTCCTTGATTCTTGCTCTTATCTCAGCATATATCTGATCTTCCAATTTTTTTGTGCCTAAATAAGTCATTGAAGGGCATGTTTGGTAACGGTTGTTTTGCTGAAATGTGACTCGATTTGCTGAATATCCAAAGGAAAAAGCGTTTGGTAACCATACATGTTAGTCAAAATTTACTTATTCTGCTTATTTTGATTCATTTGCTCCACATAAGGTTAAAACGGGCTCTAAATGTTACTAATTCATATTCCAGGATGAAATTTGCATATAATCATTGAGGGCGACTTCAGCTAGGCACATTATTAACTTTGCAGAGAAAAGTAGACAAATTTGATGAATTGATGACCTAATGTGTACTTCAAATCCCTTCAATAGATAAAGGCATAACTCTAGTCTTGAAATTCCAATGAAGCGTTAAAGAAACAAGGGAACTCTAAAAGATACAAGGAGTTAGTTATGTTCATGCTATTCTTCAATCACGTGCGCCTGCAGAAGCTCAACTCAACAAATGCTTCAATTTCGACCGTCCACAATCCACAAGTTATATTATATGACCCCCAAATGCATTTGTTTCAATGAATGTTTTGCGGCACCAAATACATTTGTTCCCATGAATGTGAAAAATAAGTTTTTTTAGATTCAAGTTTAAATGAATGAAACACGTGAAAGAAGAGATCAAACAAAAGAGCAGACGAACCAGACATGACGCGATCAGTGTAGTCATTTTCCTCCCGGAGGTGAGCGAGAATTTCAGGGTCCGAGCGGCTATCGTCTCGCAGCCAATAGTAGTCGTCTACTCTCACGTCGCCGAAAAGCTCCATCTCGTGCCTCACCTTCTTCGCCACTGGCGGAGTAGGCATGCTAGCTGAAGTGTCAGTACTCATCGTTCGAGTGGGAAGTCGAACTATGCGAGAAATCCTCTTGGGCGTTGATTGACAAGCTAGAGCTTCGCGGAGTAGAGAAGAACGAGAGCTTAAAACATTGATAAAGCTGAGAGGACGAAGCATCCGGTCTAGCGTCCGCAATCACTCATGTTTGCCTGTTTGGTACCTCACATATACGTAGAATAAAGAAATACATTTGGCAAATATCGAGTAGTTTACAGAGGTGTTTGGATGTGATATTGTGATTGTTGAAAGTAAAAGCAGAAGAGGGCAAAATTGCAAAAGTTGTTTTAGAATGGTGAAAGAAATTCTGGTCAACCTGGTTTTGTATAGTGAGAGAAAGAACTTCTCTTACCACATATTGAGATTCAACCTTCCGTTGTACATGTTTTGTCTCAAGAAAAGGAATTTACGGTTGCTTTGGAAGCACTAGTTCAAAATTTATCCGTATTTGACATTCCTTCTAGTTAGACCCCATGTCATTTGATATTAAGACATACGAAATATATGGCATGTCATGTGCTAGTTAGACTCCAGTACTAGGAGTGACGTGCTCATTTGATGAATAAGTCCCTCACCATTTCATTCCAAAAAGATTTCTTTTGAGTCTGTCGAGATATGTCAGGCTACTAAGATATAAAAGAAATGGTGAGGGACTTATTCGTCAAATCAGCACGTCACTCCTATTACTGGAGTCTAACTAGCACATGACATGCCATATACTTCGTATGTCTTAATATCAAATGACATGGGGTCTAACTAGAAGGAATGTCAAATACGGATAAATTTTGAACTAGTGCTTCAAAAGCAACCGTAAATTCTTTTTCTTGAGACAAAAAGTGTACAACGGAAGGTTGAACTTTTGTTCTTATTTAGGAAGAACAAAAGTAGTACTAATAACATCATTTGGACATATTTACAAACACCTAGTATGTTTCATATCATAATATTCTATCAAATTAAGCTCTCGCAATGACATAAATTCAAATTGCACAAGTCTTAGTATGAAGCGGCCTTTAACAAGAAAACAATTTATCACAAAGATACCTAATACATTCAAACTTATCATCACAATGCTCATGAAGGTTAAAGATGCATTTTGAAATATTATTACATAACATCAAAACATAAATAAATATAAAACATGAAAATAATATTTGCAAAAAACATAAATTAATAAATAAATATAAAAATATATACTAAAACTAATTATAATGTCTTAGAATAATGTGTTGATGGATTGTGAAATCCCAAAAGATTAAATTGTACTGTTCCATAAACCAATAAAAACAAAAACAAATAAGAGGACATGGGACAAATTCATGAAGTTGAGCAGTGGCTATCTCTCCACTATCAGTTCACAATATACGGAGTAATACTTAAACTCCACTCACAATTTACAATATACGGGGTATTACTGAAACGGAAGATGCGATAACAGAAGCATTGCAACACACCAGAGTTATTAACGGAAATCAATAACGGTAGAGTGAATTTCTTTAAAAAGAATACATAGGCCAAAACATAAAGTAAAAGCAAGTGATTTCACCAACATTTTTTTCAATCCTAAAATGCCCTAACTTTTATTGACAATTATAAGATCTTAAGATTCGTCAATCTATGTACTACGTTTGTGTAATTTGCACACACATGTCTATATATATGACGATCAAATGACATGTTCCATTGGTACTGAGAGTAACTAATCGAAAAATAAATAGACTAGAACGGACATAAAAAACTGTCAATAAGTTGCTAATAAAGTCCTATGGCGAGCAATAATTAAATGCATGTGTACGTGAGTACGTGACAAACTGAACCATTCTCTCTATTGGAATAACCAAATGGCAGAAGAAATACAGCTATGGGTTATGGATACATTATACAAGCTACAAATAGAACAATGGGAAGGTGACGGCCTCACTTGCCATATGCCTGACATAGTCTTGCACAATTACTCACTACACGGCCCCTCAATGCATTCTATCCCTACAATGTATTGATATGGAGGGAAACAATGCAAATTCTGTTCTACTGATGACTACTCTCTGTATATAACTATTACACAGCATCAACCGGTGCAACCGAGGGCTTTGATGGAGTTGGAGACGACGGAGGCTTCAAATCTGGGTACTGAAATCCACAATAACATAGCGATATCAATATATCATGATATTTACTAAAGCTTGTTAAGTCCATGATGCATAATTCAGACTAACATTGCCTAGAAATTAGAAATTGAAACATGCTAGAAATGCATAATAAGGCACCTTATGGTCACCAGTTCTAACATGTTAGCAGAATAAGTAACTTTTCACTTAGTATTGCTAGCATTTTTTGGCTCACCGACTAGGTTTTTCACCAAACACAAACTTATTTCACAATTTTGCCAACATTCAATGCAAATGACAATTCAACCTTCACTTTAGACATTACTTTATTTCATTTGTTTAAGAGAGTCATTTTAAGTAAATCTTTTAGAGAATTAGCAAATTCAAACCTTTCAGCAGCAATTTAAGCAAATTCAGCCACATAGACATTTTAAGCCTTACCAGACCGACTCTTATTGGCTAAAATGGATGTTACCATACACTTCATTGCAGAAAAATTCAGCAGAAAAGACCCTGACTTAATAAAACCTACAGTTTTTTCACATTCAGCAGAGGCTGTGCTGCTTGTGCAGATAAAGTGTTTGCCTTGTTTATTTGTTTTTTACAGAGGCGAGAAGAGTGCATACATTTGTATAGGGAGATAATGGCCTATAACCACTTGAGTTGATCTCAAGGGGCATTGTAACAGATCCCTTGATAATCTCTTCACCTCTTTTAATACCGGAATCCATATCTTCATCTGGCTGGATGGCATCTGTACTGTTACCTTGTTCCAGTTCCAACACTTTGGCTTTCTTCTTGGGGTAGACACGAACAGATAAAGGGAGAAGTTCTTCTTGTATCTCCTACAACAAAATGGACATGCGATCAAAGCACATAGATTAGTTTTTTAACAAAAGGGAGAAGTTCATCGCCTTCTTCGGGCGATTTCTGATGGTGTTAGGTAGCGGACCTCTCCAGTGATAAGAGAATCAAAGCACATAGATTAGTTTTTTAAGAAATGAAACGCAGACCCCTATATGAAAATTCGCCCAACCACATGTACTTTTTCCATACTATTCCCTATTTTATAACTAGAAATTTGGCTAGAGTGCACATTTTATTACTGTTAAGATTCAAGACACATGGTTGCAATGTGCCAATGTATCAACTTATTCAGTTATTCCCAGATTAAGCACATTTAGAATAGATAGTGATATCACCTGCCACCCTTTACTGCCTCGTAGCCCACCTCGGATTGCATAGGCCTCTTTGAAACCACTTTTTACCAAGAGTTCAGCCACTGTGATCGAGTTACCATCAAAACTACCTTCCACATAGCAGTCAATATACATCATTTATTCATTTTTCAAAATCGTCAGACACCGTATATACTAATTTTAAATCCTAGAGGTAAACAATCCTATTTAACACCTAATAATGACCCATAACACAGTCAAGTCCATTCCAATTTTGAACTCAATGCACTGCAATTAACACATAAAGTATTGTTAAATCATCCCACATAGGTCAAGTACACATATTGTACTATATCAAAATGCTTACTGTTGGTGCTTACAAGGATCAAACTACTCATTGGAACGGTGGAACCTAATGCTGGAGGTTTCGCCCCACAGTCAATCTGACAGGCTAATCACTTATATGCAGATCTATGTTTTTGTATTTGGTCGATGTGCTTAGATGTGAGATGACTTAACAAATATTGCTGCAAACAAAATTTGCTGCAACCAGTAAGATATGAAAAGTATCAACTTATATCACAAAGATTGGGAAAGCTCACTGGTCTATAATGCAAACATTTGTGCTTTGCGGTTCTGGAAATTTCTCCATAACCTCCTTGACAAAAGCATCTTCATTTCCTCCAACGAAATGAACCTGTCTCGCACTCTTTTTCAAGAGTTTCAAATTGGGGGAATTTAAATAGGCCAGAGCCCTCTTATCCCTGATATCTAACATCTGATAATTCGGGTCATCCCGGAGCTTCTTAAATGCATTAATGGCAGAGATGAACTTGTACTTCTGCATGTACTGCTGAGTGAGTGGGACTGCTGCAAGCCAAATAAATGCAACCCCAAAAGCAACAAAGGGATACCTAGTGAGCAGTTCATCAATGGAGACCAGAATTGCTTCTAAATTTATTTTACTTGGAATCTCTTCAGTGGGTGCAGCAATTTCAGAAGCAAAGCACGAACAGGGGAAAGATAAACCCGTGAAAATAGAGAAGAAAAGGGCTTTCGGAGAGTTCCCGTGAAGATTAGCGCCGGTGAGAGGCGTTGGGCTGGCATGGTTTTGTGGTGAATTTGAGCAATGGGGGGTGAAATTTCGGGTTGGGTGGGATGATCGAAGAGAGGTGGAGTTGGGCTTCAGGAGTTGAGTTGTGCAGTGATCAGAGGAACGCGTGGGAATGGAGATGGATAATGAAAGAGACTCCATGGGTGGTGGAAACTGGACAGTGAACGCGGGATAGTTTTGGATAGATGAGATCAGATATTCAGATGACAGCTATGAATCTTATTTTAAGTATAGTTTACTCATACCAAATTTCACCTAAAAATTCAATAGGGGAGACATTCAAATGAATTCTTGAAGATAATTGTGCTTTTAACGGCACAATTATCTTCAAAAATTCATTTGAATGTCTTCCCGATTGAATTTTTAGGTGAAATTTGGTATGAGTAAACTAGACTTAATGAATAAGATGCTCAATAAATTTCATCAAAAAAATCTCCCGGGAGCCACCTCAAATGACACGTCCGGACATAATTTTCTATATAAGGACTTCTTTGACCCCTTTTTTGCAACTTCGAGGACCAAATTGACCTTTATCCCCTTTTTCAAGGGTGTATTTTTAAAAGTGGGAAAATAATTAAAAATACATCAAACATGGATGAATACTCCAAACTTGCATATATGGTTTAAATACAAAGGGCTCCTCTCATGCAAAGTGAGAATGAACAAAATTCGGTCAAAATCGTAGTGGCACTTTCGTAAATATGTTGCACTTTTTCTTTACCATGAAAAGGTGCAACAGAAATACAAAAAAATACAAGTGAAACATGAAAAAGTGCATATCATCGCACTTTGCACGGGAATGAGTCTTTTTATTTGAACTCTTTCCGTGTTTTAAATATCTCAAATTCATATAAAAAGTTATTTTGACACCATAGTAAAGTATTATTTCTTTCAAAAATGTAAATTTATAGTGTTAATTACATAGTTTAAAATATTTTACAATTCATGAAGACACAATTAACATTATAAACTTCCATTGCAAAATAAATAAGGTTACCCCCAATCTATATAATTTCAACACTTTTAATTTGATATTTAAATTATGCAATTAACCCTATAAATTTACATTTTTAAAGAAATAATACATGGCAATGGTGAAAAAATAAGTTTTATATAAATTTTGGTGTATTTAAATTACATACACAAGTTTGGGGTGTTTACTTCACACCCCATCAAAGTTTGGAGTATTTTTATTAATTTTCCCTTTAAAAGTCGATGATTTTAAAGAGTGAGGTGTACTCTTTAAACGATGTCGCTAATATATTCCTAATTCCGGTTAAGGCAACGGGAGCGTAATTTTTAAGTCCCGTTACGATTTACATTCGTCTACTGAAAACCCCATTGAATATCAAGACATCACACCTGTATCATGTAAGACCAGATATATTTCTATTTTGGGAAAACTGTCAAATAGGTCCTCGAACTTTCATAAAAAAAGTTAATTAAGTCCTTCTATAGGAGACTATGTCCGGTCGTCGTGATTTGGGGCGGTTCCCGGTGGAATTTTTTGATGAAGTGTTTTGAGCATCTTATTCATCAAGTCTAGTTTACTCATACCAAATTTCAGCTAAAAATTTAATCGGGAGCGCATTCAAATTAATTCGAGAACGCAAAAATGCGCAGTTATCTTCAAGAATTAATTTGAATATGTTCCCGATTGAATTTTTAGCTGAAATTTGGTATCAGTAAACTAGATTTAGTGAATAAGATGCTCAAAAAATTTCATCAAAAAATTCCTCCGGGAACTATCCCAAATCGCGATGGCCGAACAGAACCTCCTATAAAAGGACTTATTTGACTTTTTTATGAAAGTTCGAGGACCTATTTGACAATTTTCCCTTCTATTTTCGATACTATATATTTATACTTTAGTTTTCATGGTTTAGACATCAACGTTATTTAATTGCAAGCATAGGAGGAGGAGGACACTAATTTTCTACCCTAAATACCCCTAAGAGTATTAATTCATAATAAAATGTTTTGATTTATAATAAAATCGTAAAATATTAATTCTATGATTTGTGAATGATTTAGGATTTAATTCTATTTTTGAAATTAAGTTTCCATTTAGTCATATTTAGGTCAATTTTTAAATCTTTTATAAAAATTGCAATAAATGGGTTAAACTTTTCAAATAAAGGGATCCAGATTATATTTTTACCCAAAATTATCGTCTTTTCCCCCAATTCCTCTGCCATCAATCGATCGTGACACCTTTGATTACAACCCTCCCCTTGTGACTCTGCCATGGACGCAGCTCGATAGCCATCGACCGCTCGAAGCTGGCTGCTGCACCTTTTCTGTTATTTCTCCGGAAAAAAAAGCCTTTTTCTCCCATCCCCACTCCTGCACTCTGTCATCTGTTTTTTTCTATTCATTCGCTACCTTTTCAATTTCTAATTAAACTTTTGGTTTTGAAAATTCCAAACGAAGAACAATATTTCTTGGAACGACAACTGATAGGAAATATTTTAGTTTTGATTTTAATTTATTTACAGTTTTGATCAATTTGGAATACTCCTCCATCCCTAAATAAACATCTCAATTTCCTTTTCGGTCTATCCCTTAAAAAATCCATGTTCCTTATTTGGTAAACAAAACCGTGCAAACCAATGTCAAACATTATCATTTCTTACATTGTGTGAAAGTCAAACAGGGCCTTTTGAATTGGAACGGAGGGAGTACGAGAATGCCACAACTACCGGTTATTTAAAAAATTGTCACTTTTTCGAATATGAGAATGCCGGATTATTAGGAAAATGTCATTTTTATGGCATTATATTCAAATTCTGAACTTATAAAGATGTCACTTTTAATATGATGATTACATAATTTCTTACGAATAGGTCACTAGTATAGTATGAATAAAAAAATGCTTTTATTTCTCATCTAATGTATTATTATGTATTTTAACACTTGAAAATGTCATGTTTTCATACGAAAATATCATTTTTATGTCATTGCTTTATCAAGATGGCATTCTCGCTGGAGGTTTGCAGTGACTTGTTGGAGGCAAGTTTGCTCGAAGGTGTATCAGACCTAGTTTGTATGATGAGTCCAAGTGCTTAGACGCTCGACAAACTAGCTCTGAGAAGCTTGGGAGCCTGGTGGAAAATGATTGTTTTGTATGGAATGTGAATTTTATTGTTATTTTATATATATTTATAATTTATCCATTAAAGTTCAACTGGCTTGTAAAACCCCAAATCCTATCATTGACATAGTTGTTATAATGAATACCTGTAGTACAAGGTTACCACGCCTACATAAGATGTTGAGGCGATCTAATTCAACTCAACCGTCCACCCGGCCAGACGCCCCCACACCCTGACCTGACAAAATACGATTTAATTCAACTCAAAACTACACATATGGTTTTATAGTAGAATAGGACCCTATATCTCGATATGATAGTTTGATGGGAAAATAAATTACAGTGCCTCAATAGTACTTCATATGAGGGTATGAGGAGTTGAGGACTAGGTGTCTATAAGAAACATCACTATATTTCGGTCAGTATAAGGGTTGAAGCTCCCATAATATGGTTACCAAAATTCAGCCCTACGTTTCATGGTATAATTTCCCACTCAGATTCAATTTGAGAACGAGACAGGGTTGCATGTTCTTAGAAAGTAATGGTTGTCGATTTTGTAGGACTAGCAATGAATAATTGATATAAAAATCGTTCAAGTTTCACAAAATTCCGTGAGCATGTTGACATGATTTGTGGTGGGGATAATCCTAATTTTGTCATGTTGTATATACTTTTAATCTAAGTTTGGATTTTTAACAGCTTTAGTACACTCCCTCCATGTATTTTTTTCTAACAATGAAACCCTTCTTTGAGCTTTCCACGTTGGAGAAATCTGTTTCGAAAATGAGATTAAGTGATTTCATGCAAGCCACATACAACTTAAACAAAACCAAGATTATTGAGTCAGGAAGAACTAGGACTCTTTACAAGGGAGTTCTTGTAGACATCACATCTTTCATGGTTAACAGATAACAAACACTCAACACTCTCAAAATGAATTTGCATCTAAGATGGCAACAATCGGAATGGTAAAAACAACAAGTTGGTCCCTCTTTTCGGATTTTACATGGCAAAACAAGAAAGGCTATTGGTCTATAAGTACATGCCAAATAGAACCCTACAAAACAAGTTGCATGATGTTAAGACACGGGGCTCCGTCCTAAAAGGTCAACCTAATAGGAGAAGTGTTCAAAGTCTTATATAGTGTTAAATAGTTTTTATAGCTTTCTAGTTTGGGATAATTAAATACTTTAACACGCCCCTCAGGCTGAACCGGACTGGGTAATAACAGGGTGTATAAATGGGCCAAACAAACACTTAAGAAACTACTTGAATTACGGATGCTCAACAAGCAGTCAAACCACAACCGGGCTCGACTTTGATAACATGTTAAGATTCGAGGTTTCATTATAAAAGGTCACACTGATAGGAGGAGTAGCCCAATATCTTATATAGTGTTTTATTTTTTTATAATTTTCCAATGTGGAACAAATACTTTAACGCGTCCCCTCAGCCCGAACTGGACTATTCAATAAAGTCAAAGAGCCCTGCAAGCGTTGCAATGCTGAAGCAACTACTATCACATTCTCTTTAGCTGGAAATGCATATGCTTTTGGATATCCTGGATATCCTTGGCGGTGAGTAAATAATTTGTCTGGGGCAGCCACAACTTTAAGTAGTGGCAGTACCGTAAGTAGTAGTGATAGTAGTTTAAATGTTGATGAATTGGGAATGGAAGAGCTTGAACAAACAAGGATATCTATGAAAGAGTTGAAAAAGGAAATTGTCGATTGAGTGAATGAGATTTTGGAAATTGTTCCTCTTTGAAGGTCTGGTTGGTTAGTTTCCTATAGCGGAGCTCGTTTTGATGGGTTTTATGGGAGAAACTAGTTTAACAACGTGCGATGCACGTTCATGGAAATGCCCAAAGACATGTAGGCATATTAGGTCATCAGGTTAGGTTGAGTGAATGCATGAATAATTTGATTAAATTATTTTTATACATAATTCTATAGAAATTGATAAACAAACTATATGAAGAAAATATTTGTAGCTTGAATTGTATGGGATAAATAAAGCAACCAAAATGACTATAATAACCATAATAATGGGATAGGATT